CAGTAATATTGGTACCTACTTTATAAGTATATGTTACTTACATTGTTCATTTATTTCTTTATTAATTTCTACAAATTTCAATATAATATAATAACCAAAATATTTAATTGTATCTAATATATTATTTTCAGTAAATATTTTTAAATAWCAATTACTTCGTTAAAAATTTAAATTAATCAAAACAATATTTGTCAGCTGTACGTCACTCAAAAAAAAATTGGCTAAACTTTAATAATAACATTACAAATTACTATTTTCAATAATAATAATTAACTATAAATACATTGAAAAATTGAATTGATCAATTATTTTTGAGTATCTTTTCAAGTATCTTAATCATAATTGACTTCCCCCCCCCCTGAAAAAAGGTTTGCGCACGCTTAAGAGTTATACAATATTACAATAAGTTTTTAACGTTGTCGACATTGAATATGACTGTATGTGTAAAATAAAATTGTTGTAAGTAGGATACTTAAAAAGTACCGTAATTTTTCGACTTTTCGTATTTTGGTCTGCGGGGTTAGATCGGTTTGTATTTGAAATTATTGACAAAAGTTTATTGATGATGTTACAGGTATGGTTGCGTCTATCAGGATCGGCGTGCTGAGGCATATGTTATACCGTCTGATATTTTGGGCGGCTATATTGTTATGCCTCTCACAACTGTTGATAACGTTGTGGAGATCGGACCGGCCGATGGCAATGAAGTCCGGCAACATCAACACRAGGATGATCCTGCAGAATATGATTGATTTTCATACCGCACGGACGACCACACCGCCGTACGAGAGCCTGTTGACCGTCGAACCGTGGGTTGACAARCTGTCCGTGCAATCGGAACAGCTGATCATGGACCAAGTACAAAAACGGTTGCCCAATCTGCCGGTGACGTATTGGAACCAGAACAAGAACAAAGCGATGTACTACAAAAATGAGAGTTGCGCCAAATTCCCGAGTATTTACGAATTGGAATTCAACAACGTGTACTGGCAGTCGCTGCAGACATCCAACGGGTCGTTTCACCTCTACAGCGCTTACTACGACGTACGAAAGTTGAGCAGGATCGGSCCGGCTGTCCGGATACTTGGCATGATCAACCGGATAGAGCCGACGGTCAAGACTCACTGTCAGTTTTGGTTCGACGACCACAGGCAGCCGGTGATCGTGAGAATCATGGAATACAAATACATATGGTACAAAAAGTGGGGCAACTACAAGCAGGGCATATTCCAACCGTATCTGATCGCCTGCCAGATACCCAAGTCCCACCACCACGCCGTGCCCGCGTCTGTGTCGTTGGTGGAGAACGTGTGCGACAAGGCCACCAACAATCTGCGCGTGGTGTACAACCGGCCGGCTGAGAAGAAAGGCTTCGCGGTGTGCGTCAAGGGCCTGGACTTCCTGTACGAAGACCTGTCAGTGCGGTTGGTCGAGTGGATAGAGCTGCTGCACATCCTGGGCGCGGACAAGATCTTTTTTTATCAGCTGCAAGTGCACCCGAACATCAGTAAGGTCCTCGACCACTACGAGTCCGTGGGCCGTGTGCACGTGACGCCGTTGACGTTGCCCGGCGGCCAGCCTAACGTGCCGGGTTTCCAGCACTTGTACCTGACCAAAAAGGTGAACCACAAGCGGCAGAACGAGCTGATACCGTACAACGATTGCCTGTATCGGAACCTCTACTCGTACGACTACATAGCGCTGTTGGACATCGACGAGGTGATAATGCCGATACGRACCAGGACGTGGAAGGAGCTGATGGATACCGTGATGGWGAAGGCGCTGGCTATCAGGAACGAGACCCGCGCCTCGTACAACGTCCGGAACGTTTATTTCCTGGACGATCTGATTCACACTCACGGTTGGTTCAAGACCATGCCCAAGTACATGCACATGTTACAGCACGTGTACAGGAGCAAGAACTACACGAAACCGAACCAGTATGTGAAATGTTTTCACAACCCCGAGAGAGCGTTGACGCTGCATAATCATTTCCCACTGGCGTGCCTGAGCCAGGGCTGCACATCGTACGCCATGGACACGGCGGACGCACATCTGCAACATTATCGGGCCGACTGCGTWAAGACTCTGAAGAAAACTTGCACCGAGTTCAGACAGAACAGCGTGATCGACACGACCATCTGGAGGTACAAAAGGGATCTCATATCAAAAGTGTCGAACACGTTGTCGTCACTGGGCTTTTTCCCAGCCATATGACGAAAAACAAAACATAATATAATATCGTAATCAATCGTTTGTCCACAAAAACAGGGTACCTAAGCGGAAAAAGTGATGTTGTTGCGCATACGCGAAATACAAAAGTTAAAAAATTGTAATTAATATAAGAATTTATAAGCCATTATAGTTTAGTTTCATGTGCCGCAAACCGATTTCAAATAGWTATGTGTAGAGTACCTACCTGTACTGGGTAATTTTTTAAGCAAATGATTCATACAGTACACGCTGTTTGTGTGAGCACACGGTATAATATATGAACGACGACAATTAGACTATTTTCATATTATTACGACGTATATATTCGTATTTGAAAACYGTACTTGCACGTGCGATGACTACGTTTTATGAGATATGTAAATAGCTTATTACACGCGCGTCACACCTATAGAAATATAAATTATTATTATTGAAATAGGACGTACCTATTCATACATATTCATACCTACATAACGTGAATACTCAATCACCGAAAAAATAAATTTACATACCTATGCGTTGCAAAAGACTGGACCCATACAGCGAGTGCGATCTCGCGAAATTCCGAATTTTATACGACTTATGAAATTATATTTTTTAAGTTGTTCGAATGGGACAACTTTATACAATTATATTATTAACACGTTTTATTTTCTTATAATGATCCAATGTTGATTCGATTGGTTATTTACAAATATTAGAATTTATACGTTTCAAATGCCAAAGGACCGACGATCAAGATTTGAKGTTTAAAAACACTAATTATTTCTTACTTTTCTTAAGATTTATTTTCCTTCGAATCGTATAATAGATATTTCACTATTTTTGATATCCTATATACTGTTCATGTATTTATAAAGTATTTTTATGTATATGCCAACTATTAGCAGGTACTATTTTGGTAGTAGGTACTCTATTGTACACAGGCTTAGTACCATTAWACACAAGACATTTTATTGATGTTTGACATATATTTTATTATTGATTTGCCAGATGTATTATTTTTACTTAAAAATAGTACCTACTCAATTGTATTAATATTTCTATAGTTATTTAATATTATGTACATTATTTGCTTATTATATTATGTATGTAGTATTGTATTAAATTAAAATATAAATATATATATATGTAGTATGTACCTATAATGTATATCATTTTTGTAATATCATACGTTGTACCTGCTTACGTCTTATTAAAGTATTATGTTAGTTTTACAAATATTTCGAGATTAAGAAATCCAGTGAAAAACAATCGATGTATTYTTCATAAAAGTTACGATCAYAATCTTTATACGTTATACCATAAGCAGTRAGCTGCACTCATATCTAACTTAAATTGTATTTATTTTAATTGAACAAATGTAAAATTAAGAACTCCAGTGATAACATATTAWGTATAATAAGGTTTGACTATAATATTATTCTTAAGCCTAAAGAAAATTTACATTATAGACTGATATAGATAGGAATGTCAATTAACATCAAATGCATTAGCTCTAGAACAAAAAATAAATCGACAAAAATATTTATAAACTTCAGTAAGATTTATGTATGCACCTATTACATGATGACTTACTTGAGGATGACKCTACACCCGCATACGTTGTCTTCGTCTTGCAAACGCATAAACGTCATGGCAAATTGTAWGCTCAGCAGATCACGTATAGCTCCGTTAGTTTAAAATTTAGAGAAAATTGACCTCTTACAAAAATTAAAGGTAACATTATTATCGGGAGCATATCGTAGGMTTYTTATTATATTTTAATTTTAAAGTGAGTTATGTGTATTTTAAAATTGTAAATTGTTTGTATATATTAAAATACTCATAACTCACTTTGAAATAAAAATATAATAAAAAGCCTACGATATGCCCCCGATAATAATGTTACCTTTAATTTTTGTAAGAGGTCAATTTACTCTAAATTTCAAACTAACGGAGCTAAACGTRATCTGCTGAGCATAAAATTTGCTATGTTACGCACTTGTAAGACGGATACGACATATGGCGGGTGTATAGCGTCCTCTTAAAGCACAAGTTATTTGTTTCCACTAAAACAAAGATTTTCGTTATTGCCAAATCAAGCGTACATGTAAGAACTGCGTGAATTCGAAAATTCCATTTTGATAATATTGTATTTTTATATTTCTTTTATTGATGTGTTAATAATCTGTTTTGAATATTCTTTCTTTTCGATTTTCAAATGMTTATTTAATTTAGAACTAATATGTAAGTATTTATTACTTATTTATATCCATACACAATAGTTTGAACACTTGAAATTTTAAATTTTAAAAATGCATTAATATTAGATTGCGATTTGTAGATCTGTTCGTTTAAATATGCACTAAATGAATTGTTGTTCTGCATAAACTTTCACTGCAGAAATTACGCTGTGGATGGAAACGTACCGTTTCTGGAAATATAATTTTTAAGATTATGAACAATTGTTTTCAAATTATAATTTTGGAGGAAACGAATACCAAACTTTTTTAATTTTAAAGAATACCTACGATGCGTAAATCTACACTATATACAGTGAAACCTCCTTTAACGGACACCACTCAATAGCAGACACCTCCAAATAACGGACGGAATTTTGGGAACGGTGAAATGTGTACTCACTGTATTTCTCCTCTTAAGAGCGGACACCTCCAAATAGCGGACGACATTAAAGCGACCGAGAGTGTCCGGTATTTAGAGGTTTCACTGTATACTATTATTATATTATATTACTTTATTTATTGATAACAATATAGTTTATCGGCCGATCTGTTAAATAAATTTAAATATTCATACGTTATATACTAAATTTGTTTTTATTAATTAAAATTTAAAATAATTGTAAATGTTAAAAAAAAACACTTCTTTATAATAATTTATGTATTAACTGCTGTCTAAAAACTGTCGATTTCATTAGAATGTTACTATAGTTCTGTAGTTTAATGGAAGAATAATTACTTACTTGTAACTTTAAGGACTGATATTTATGCTTTTGAATATAATCATTTTCTTTAATAGTAAATGTTTCCGATTAATTTTTTGTAACCTTTTTATGTTTAATATTTATTTATTTTCGCATGGATTTGTTGAACATAAAACGTGTTATATCTAATTACAGACTAAACTAAACTGAAGTGAATTAAAATAATAATTTTGAAAATTAAATAATTTAAATGTAACATTTAACAACAGTTATAATAATAATAACAATAATAAATCAAAGAAGGAGCTTTTATTATTCTACAAAAGATTATTTTTAAAGACAATATTTATTTAATACTCAGATTAATATAATATTAGGAAATGAAACTTCAATCTTAATTTCTTGTAGACTTTTAAAGGAAAACAACTTAAAAATTAACAAAATAATATTGATTTATAGAGTAAAGGAAATCAGCCAATTTAATATCAATAATAAGATGTTTACTTGTGAATTTGTGATAAAAAAAAAAGAAAACAGTCAAATAAAAATTGGGCAAACCCGGGCTTAGTCGGTCTGCCCTATAAACACGCCACTGGTTAAAGTATACTCATCAAAGAATATTAAGCAGAATTGAAGGCAAGAAGAGGAGGAATGCAATCAAGTGTAATTTTTCGATTGAACAAATTCATACAACTTGACAAATTGCATTGATGTGAATTTATATTAAAAAGGACGCCCCCGTGGATACATTTGTTGTCTCCTGTTTCACACGTAGACGACATCAAATTTTCATTCACCAGTTTCAAAAGTGTACTGTCATAGTTTTGAAATCAGACTATTACGAATTAACCCAATATAAAACTTTTAAGTAGGTAAGATATTATCTGTGCCTTTAACGAGGGCGGTTTTTTTAGATATTTTTATTTTAATGCAAGAAATGGGTATGATAAATATTGCGAATTAAAAATGTTCATATCTCGCTTGCAAATCAAAATATCGAATAAAAGCCGAATAATACGCTTGAGMAAATTATGATTTATGATAATGTTCTCGCACCTAAAAGTTTTACATACCTAAATTTCACTCTAATATCAAAACTAGCTGCACACTATTGAAACAGTGAACAAAAATTTGCTTAGTCGTACGTGCAGTGTACGACGGAGAAAACAATTAATGCGTTCTCTTAATGCATTTCGTTAAATTTTAATTTATTATAGTAATCATAGTAAATAATCGCAATGAACGATTTTGAACGGTGTCACTATCGCTATACTGAATCTATTTTTTAATACCTAAGTGTACCTAGCTTTTTCATAAGTCCAGATAACTAGTTATGTTACCGGGATATGATGGGTGTCGAAACAAGCCACACCGGCTGCATTTATGCAAAAACATATTGCATATTTATTACTTTGCAGATTTCTGCTGATTATGTTGTTAAATTATTGTTCTATTTAATTTTTAAAATTCCGTGTAATTAATACGAAGATTGATTAATGTAGCGGATACCATGATATGTAAAGCCCCACAACGTGTTACATTTAAATATAAATTATAAAACCTCTTGAAAAATAATGTTGGTCACTCGCCTATAATTRTATCTATTATTACTCTTTGATAGAACGACAGTAGGTAGATTTAACTTATTTTTTATGAAAAACTTCATATTTAATATTTATAATATACCTACCACCTGAGAACCCGAACACTTTTTAGTCCATTATTAAAAATCCTACCTCTTATATTATGTCTCAAACCATGTGTTAAATTCTTTTCCTGTGATTCTGCTAGTAGTTTATTTACATAAAGATAGATAACGGTTAAAATATACCTATTAAAATATACTAAGTATATTTTATTTTATTACATTATATTAGCCCTAGCTCCGTGCGACCCGGCTCGATTGAGATGAAATTTGGTACAGAGATATTAGACGTATGGGCAGAAGATAGGTTAAGTTAAGTTAAGTGATAGGCCTAAATAGCATTTAATTGAATATTTGAGTTGTCAGACTTTTCTTGAAAAAACGAATACAATTACATAATAATAAACTAAATTGAATATCGTTGTAAGATTATTACTGCTAGCATAATCACAGGAAAGGAATCTAACATACAGTTTGAGCCATTTAAGAGGTAGGATTTTAAACGGGCTACATATTGTATGAGTTCAGCTAGTACAATTAATAATTTATAAGCAAAGTTGGAGGCACCAAAATGTTGTTGCTTACGTGCGCCAAAATATTAAATACGTTCTCTGAACATACGGGGTGTCTGACAAAGATCTGACATAGTGACATGGAATGACTAATGCTATTGTAGGTATTCAATATTTTAAAATTTTTTCTTTCTATACATATAATTCATAGACACTTGCACTACTTTTAGTGTAGTTATTTTAATTTTAATTTTAGATTCTGAACAAAGCGAGAAATATATTGATTTTACAATGATGTATGTTTTTTATTTTTTAAATTTTTTGTTTGTGACTGTTATCACGTTTTGGAGTAGAAATAATGCATTGATTTTACTTCATTGCAGCCCCTTCTTTAAAAAGAAAAATTCATCTATTTGGTGGTTTTTTTTTTTGGGAGGGGGGAGGCGTCAAAAGTAAAGTAAAAACTCTAAAAAGTAACAAAAAAATGGAAATATTTTTACGTATTATTAGTTTTCGACAAAATCGATTTTTAATTTTGCTTAACTTAACTCAATAACGAATTATTGTAAATACTTGACATTTTTACCAAATGTTCTTATTACTTTAACCATCATTTACGATTAAATTTTCAAAATATTATGTCTTATTTTGAGCTATTTATAAACAATTTAAATTTTTATTTTTCTAAGTTTTTATCTTCGAAATACATATTTAAAAAAACTGTCCCCACCTTCGATTTTCGAGTTTACACCTATACCAATCGTGTGTGCTTTGTTTGTACCTGTTTGCACCTCAAGTAAAATTGTTTGTACCTTAACAGTTTTCTGGTTATTCCAAATTGTTAAGGTGATGGGGCTGCGGGCATCAACACCTTTGAATTTCGAGTTTAAACTTATACTAATCTTGTTGTACCTGTTTGTACTTCATGACAAATCGTTTGTA